TTCCACCCTGGAATTCAATGCCACAATGACTGTAACATTCAAAGTCAGAGTCGTGCAAATCTTGGGTTGGACCCCCATGATGATCCCAAGCATCACCTGCATTCCATGCGGTAGCTATTGGTGCGTTTGGGCGTCACATGTAACTGGAAATGTTTCTTCTGTTAGGTTCTATAGTGACTTTTTTCGTAGTCATTTGCATATTTTAGTATTATGCCCCCAAAATCAAATATCCCCTACTTTTTTTGAATAGTATAATATTTTAAATTGAAAGATCGTTAATATTCCGAGTCAAAATTCGGATCATCGTTCAAAAGTCTGAGCATTCAACTAGATATATTCTGAATGGTAATTAAATAAGCTTTCCAAATATTTTTTAGTAAAAGTAGGCACAATCATATTAAATAGGCCAGCCCTCGTACTAAACATGGCGAATTTTTCAATAGTTTAAAGGGAAAGACCGTTAATAATTGGAGTCAAACTTCGGATCAGGTACAAAATTATGAGCGTCCAACTAAATAATCCAAATTACACCTTATTTCGGAGCTAAAAGAAGAGCGCAATATGGTAATAGTGTACGGTATAATATATTCTACTTTCAGTTTATACAAAGTAACGTTGGATTGTATTGGTTGATAAATTTGGGCGATTCTGGTCTTTATTCTGAATAGGTTGCCAACGAAAAGTTTGCCATCTTGATCGATTAATCTGCAGCTAGGCGAATAAGTTGCCAATAGTTTCGGCAATGTCGAATATCATTAAAGCATAATAATGATCAACGTCCTCCTCACAAGTATCTAAGTCTTTGCAAGGGCTTATAAATGAAATCAAGTGTGACCTAGCCTCCTACTGTTCTGCTCCGATTGAGCAAATGAAGACGGGCATATGCCATACAGTGTGCTATGAGGACAATTTTGCTCGGACAGCGGCGCTACAGCCTACTCTTATATCGATTTCCAAGTATCGGGGGATCTTTTACATGCACACTATGTGTACACGGGCCTCGGTTTTCCGTCCCACCCGAAATGTCCATACGTTGTCCCTTGCCAGACCCTCTGTCCCGCACTACTTACAAGGGAGTACCACGCCGGAAAACACCGGTGAACTTTCTCGACTAACAGAGGGATAGAACACAGACCTCAAAGTTAGCGAGCCAACCTCTTACTCACTCAGCCACCGTGGTATATTTTGATTGCCATGGCCTTTTACCCCATTTCTCTAATATGTAAAGCTATAAACCGTTATTTTTCAGTGTACCAACAATGAAATTTCTTGTAATACATAACCGACCATAAGAACTACATTAGAATGGTAAAGATACACAAATAGATGATATAAATACAAAAATAAAACAACATAATAATAAAGATGATATAAATACAGAAATATTTCTAACATGGTAGAAAATAATGCCCCGTCGTCACATTACGCGCAAGCCATTGTATACACGATTGCATCTTGGTTTTTCACCCGAAACAATCGACTTAGTAACACTTTCATCGTCAAAGCTGCAGGTGCGACCCAGTACAAGTAGATACTGGGCAAGAATAATCCGGATGGTTCTTCACGGACAACGATTCAAAGTCTATTACATAAAGTATATAAAGTTTATGTGGTTATATTATAAAGTTTATGTGGTTAATAATAAAATGTCACCTTTACAAAACACCTAACTAACCGCCACTTGTCGAAGAGCTAACCGCCAGCACCCAAGCTTGACTTCGACATATGTACGTACCAGTAAATAATAGAGACTTTTGGCAAGCGGAATTTTTCCCATCCGTATCACGTATCCGTATCGCATACGTGATGTGTTGCGTCATCGTAGTTTTAGAGTTTTGCCAGATTTTCGCGTCGCGTACGTATGCGTCGCTGAGCTGAGCTTAGTTCTATTATAGCATGATGAGAGAGAGAGAGAGAGAGAGAGAGAGAGAGAGATGGGTTTAACGTCCACTCAACACAGACTATGTCATTTCGGGATTAACGTATGGTTTAATTTTATTTCAATAATTCGCTTGCGCGTAGGGGTCTTTAGCAGTGGGAGGAAACCGAAGGACCCTGAGGAAACCCACGAGGTTGGACAGGCAAACCTACTCCTTGTCACTTACAACCAGGGCTTCGAAACCACGCCAGTTGACTCAATGCCAGGCCTCATGATACAGCGCGCACATGCTAATCATTCGGCCATCCAACCCCTCTGCATGATGACACAGAGTGTCTAGCCTACAATTTCCAAGAGGGAGCGAAGTCGCTCAACCGTCGCTGGGCTATTTGGTTTCACTAATGTCTCATTTCGGAAGGATTATACCCCTTTACCATAAAATAAAATCATTTACAGATTTGCAAGATCCCACCCCACTAAATTCATCACGTAGATCAACCAGCACGCAGACAGACAGGAAAAGTATGAAAATTCTGGGAAAAGACCATAAAAAATAACGATTAAATTCCAGTCTTTATCGTGGTTAAAATCACATCAAATAATACACCATCGTGTTCTAGGATACACATAGATTTATAAAAAAAAAAACCGCTTTGATATAACATTTCAACGTCTAAAAGTAGCAAAAAAGACAACAATGTTATACGGAACTCTCCCGTATGAAAGCTGTTCGATACGTGCTGCCGTATCCGTGTGCCATATCACGTATGAGAAATACACACACACATTGATGACGTCACATGCACAATCCATACGGAAACGCGATGCAGACCAGGAATAAAGCTTGTCAAAAGTCTCTATTCAGTAAACTACCACCCGATTAGATTTTATTACATACTTCGAGAAGGTATTTGTTGAGTAATAAAACCTTCTAGTAGTTTATCGAGGGCTAACCCAAATTGTTAAACCTAACCCTTTTAAGAGAAGTAAAAACTAAATTAGACCCAAGTTAAGTCTTTTAAAAAGGGTTAGGGTTCGGGTTAGTTATCCCCAAAATTCTCATTTATATAAAGCGGCCATTTTTGACTCCGGAAGCACCCGAACCTCGATAAACTACTAGAAGGTTTTATTTGTACCGTGCGGTAAGGACGGCCAGCCCTCGATAAACTACTAGAAGGTTTTATTACTCAACAAATACCTTCTCGAAGTATGTAATAAAATCTAATCGGGTGAAACTACAGTACATATATACTTATATCATAATTGACAATCTACAAGTAGAACGATGGGCTAGGCGCCGGCACACTAGCCTTACTTTGCCATTCCACGCAATTCACGCGTCTGAGGAAACATATCCCAGCATCCCTTATGCATCGGAATTTCACAGGGACTTGTAACATATATTCAAATGACTGCATATGGGGAGGTCTCACACTCCAGGCTAGCACCCCCCCCCCCTCCCCGAGTAAAACAGTTGGACGTTAAACCTCGTCTGCTCAAACATATCACAGCATCCCTTATGCATCGGAATTTCACAGGGACTTGTAACATATATTCAAATGACTGCATATGGTGTGAGGAGGGCACACTCCAGCAGATCAGTTGGACTTTAAACCCCGTTTCATTTCATTTTCCTACTTTTCTGCACCAATCGGACTACGCATACGCTATAGGCATACGCTATGCAGAGTGATATGACGGAAATTCTCAATGGACCTTGGCAATTCTTCATCAAATTTCAAGTGTGAAGACCATAGGGTTTTAGGGGGGGGGGGGTCCCATCTACAATACTAGACATTGTTCTTTGTCAGGCCCGTTGTTCTGCACTACCGACATGGAGAAACCACGCTGCAAAATCCAGGGGAATTTTCTTGACAAACACCAGGATCAGTGTACATTATTTTAACCCGACAATACATTTTTACGCGACATTACGACATTTTTAATATTGTGGTGTCGAGTGAAAATGTCGTATTGTCGGGTTAAAATGTCGTAATGTTGGGTTGTCGGGTTGTCGCCTTATGTCGGGCTAAATGGTGAATTTTACTTATTTTAATACCCATTTACACTAAATAGGAAATGATTTTTACCTACAAATAATTCAAACGGCTTTATTTATTTTTCTAATACATGAAAAAAATGTTTCAGAATTTAATTTGACGGAAGAAAAAAGTTAATATTTGGGACTCATTAAGTCGCATCGTTGTCATCCTTATCAGTGATTGTAGCGGCTTAGCGAAAATTCACAGCTGATCAGTGTGGTGCGAACCCTTGTCGTGGTTTCACTTGATATCTAATTTAGTTGTTGTACCTTACTTCTTAAGCACAAACGAATAGTAAGGCCAATACGCCTAATTTGTTACTAATAAGTTAGGTACGGTGCTTCATGGAATGACGGCAGCTGTGTCCAGTGGTTCAGTAAGACGTTGGTTCGTTAACTTGAAGGCTCGTGTTCGATCCCTGTGTTCGCCTAGAAAGTTCATCGATTTTCCGACGTGTTTCCCCTTGTCAGTGGTGTAGGACCAAGGGACAACGTATAGGCGTTCGGGTAGGACGTGTACACAACAGCGTGTACGTAAATGATCCCTTGCCAGATGGAATTCGATATAAGAATAGGCCATAGCGCCGCTGTCAAGGTAAACTTTCCCCTCATAGCACACTATGACATATGCCAATCTTCATAATGTCCGTCTTTGTTAATCCAGTGGGACATAATACGGCATTTCGTTTCATTTCTCCAGCAATAAGATCGTATAATAGGTACTCGTCAGAAATAAGTATCTTGATACATTTTGGCTGGATGTGAAACACGAATGGATCATTAATGAAGTGGGTGCAAGTCTACGAAGACGGTAATATAATATGTGTATCGTTTTTTGAATAAAAATCCCGATTCCGTACACTTCGTAGTTGTGTTTGTGCATTTTTCTTGGGGCAATGGTATTCGAAAAGAAAAACCACCCAATGAACATGAAACTTCGCCCGCTTGTTCTTGGGACAATTGCGCATCGGTTGACGAACTCCTATGGCCCTGATGACGTATGGTCGGTTCCTGGTTGATATATTACGTTCTTGCTTTTCAAATATCGTTTTATTTGTCTTCGCTATTGAAAGTATGTAATTAAAAAAAACACGATTTTTTATTCGTTCAAATTCATGTAAATACTTAACAAACACTTAACATATAAAAGAATTTGTTATGGTGCACGGCAGTTTCCACCAAAAAAACCATAATATCCATTTGTCGTTCGGCACTCCAATGCACCACAGCAATGTTGTACACTGCTGCAGTCTTCAAGTAGACTACTGCAGCGCCCGTTTACATGAATACCTTTCTCTCGTTTTTCAATGTTGGCAGATTCTCTGAAAAATAGAACGACATTTATTTATGGATGAATTCCTGTTGGTTATACCGTTGTATATTATGTTATTTAGAAAACAGAATTTGTATCTGAATATTGATAAAATAGTATAAATAATTATACTGAAAATACAGTCGTTGCCAGCAATCCATTCGATCATAAAATAATGACATTGAAGTCGTCTTGGGTATTGTGATCAGATTGTTATCCTGTTATCCAATCACCATAATCTTCTTAAGGACCACATCTCCACTCACACCCATTCTGATTCAAGAAATCAAATAGGACACGTAAGCATACACTCCCTCGCGCTCGACATCTACCATCATGTTTATATTTTAAAAAAAAACCCACCAACAACAAAAAATAAAAATAAAGCTCGACACATACGGTGACTAAGTTTTTATTTATTTTAATGTATTTGTTTACTTCTCGTATTTTTTTTAACCTGATAAATAAAGAATTCTTTTCAGTCACAATATTTTCTCTGTGGTACAATTTGAGTTGGCTTGATTGACAGTTCTTAGTTTCATGTTTATCAAAATATTTATGTATATACTTTACTTACTCGGAACTTCTCTTGACAATAGTATTAATGGCCTCCATGGCTTTCCTCAGATTAGAATCAACTTCATTTTCTTCTAAAATATAAACACAGAATTAAAACATTATAAAATAATGTCTCATTGGCACTCCCCTACGCCGATTTTGAGATTAAAGTACTATTTAATTTATTTAGGCTACTATTTCAGCAGTTAAGATTTTATTTGGACAGCCGCCTGTTCTAACTATTGTAGACGGGTAATTCTTTGATTTTTTTCATCCGTGATATTCTGGCCGACCGCCCACAATCTAAATTTATTTTCAGATCTGGTGAGACTATAAAAATGTGTAGAATACGGCGGTCCTATTAATCACCGACAAGAGCGTTTTTTGTCAATATCGCCTACAGTATTGCAAGAAGTGACCGACAAGGAAAGATTTGTTATAGATATGCATATTCTTCATACCACATCCATAATTTAAACTTTCATAAAATTTATAAAATCGATAAGTGAATTGTTTACAAAATGGCTAAATACCCACTGATTCAATATGGCGGCATACATTTCATAGTGCAAGCAGTTTTTAATTTGAAATAATATCTCCAGTAATATAGATCCATCTACAATTGCTTTGTGTCGGTAATTTATTTCGTATCTCCGCCCTTATCTTTGATTGCATTATGTGCATTGCTGAACGAAAGCTTGTTTGTTAAAGAGGTATTATGTAAGATTTTAAAGGACAATATTGGTGTCAATCATTATCACATTATATGATAAAACGGGTCAAACACGTTCCAAATATAATTTTAACACATAGTTCATTGCTACGACAGATTTTAAGATTTCAAGAAAGGGAAGTGCTGAAGTAACGAGTGATAGCAGATACACGGGCGAATATCTGCTCACTAATGATTTCTTCGAAGACCAAAATTTGTTTTCGGAGGCTATGAAAGGATATCTGATAATTCAAAAAAGTAACTGAATACCACTTAATAAGGGAAAACGAGAAAAATAGAAATAGTCCGTACATTCCCTTGTTTTTATTCATTCTGTACTTAATAAAAACATGGTAATGCTTTCTCTTGTCTAGAGACAGTCAGTTTTTTTTTAATTGTCGGATATCCTCCCACGGTCGCATATATAACAACTTTTGGTCATTGAAGGAATACTTAATGAGCAGAAATTCGCCCGTGTATCTGTTATCACTCGTTACTTCAGTCAGTTTGAGGCAGACCATCATTAAATTTCACCATCTTGAGACAAATTGTAGTTCGTCTATTTATAGCAATTCTCTCTGTGTCTCTTTTCTCCCCCGTTGCATGCCCATTGTTGTTGATTTTTTGGTCTAGAATGGACGAGGATGGTTTGAATTAACATTTTCCTGCCAGGTTTTGGTAAATATTCATGATTTTGAGGCGGAACGATAACATAGTTATCTGGCTGGTTACGGTGATATGTATAGCATCTAGTTACATGTTTTTAGTATGGTTCTTCAAGTTTGTGTATCTCAACATTTTGGTGGCCAGCCTCATACACATTTTAGTGCAAAGTCATGAACATTTGTTCCTCTGTCTAGTGAAAAGCATTCAGTCCAACGAAAATTTGAGGAAAAGTTGGAGCTGGGCAAAGGGGCCAGAATTAACATTGAATTCAATGGGGAAATTAATGGTGGCCTGCCTCCCGTTATATAGAAGGATAAATCGTGTTTTCCTTTTGCGTTCGTCACTTCCCTTTCTTGAAATCTCCATAACGCATCTATCGCAGCTATGATCTCTGTGTTAAAATTATATTTGGAACGTGTTTAACCAGTTCTATCACACATGTGATGATGACTGACACCAATATTGTCCTTTAACAAAGAACTGGCCGTTCCCGCTATAATATTTCAAAAATAGATAATGAAAAATGATATTGAAAATTTAATTGAAATTACTTTTTTTCGAACGAAGTTATCAACGGTTGTAGTTTTGACAAGATCTGTGCATTGGTCATTCGAGTATTAGCCTCACTTCTCCATCTTAAATCAAATCATTAAAATGACCGAAACATTCTAATCTACATAAAATCAGAGCCAATTATTAATTTATATAACATTTAAGGCCCAAAGAAAGAACTGCAATAGGCAGATTAAGCTCTTACATAATGCTCGTATAAGACATGTATTGGCGCTTACAAACCGAACTATCTTTTCAATTATCACATATTATTTAGCCTTTGGATTTTATAAATGGTATATCCGATGTAACTATAGTTCCTCTCTATTGTTATTACGCCGCTTTGTTCAGTTGCCATTAATTTTAAAGTAAGGCCGGATTTTGACAATGCGGGTCCCGATTCACATCGAGCGTGGAGGTCCCTCAACATTAAATTACATGCCAAATTTTAAAAAAAGAGAACTAAAATATACAGGATCTCCAAGATTATCTTATTTTCTATAGGACTATCGCATCTGATATAATATGGATTGCGCAAAACCTCAGATACAGTTTTAACGTCACCTGTCTTTATGTTTTCTGACATCAAACTTTAGAAGTGGGACAATGCAAAAAATTATATAAAGGGAACAAGTGTTACATGTTTATGAATGAAGCTAGGAACATACATTTAAAAATTTACACGTAACATAGCATACAGACGTCTTTCTCATTCAACACATGGGTTCCACCAGAAGTGGTCATTCTTTCTTCACAGATCACGAGGCCCATTGCAAAGCTTTCAGCCCAATTGGCTTCTAAGATAATTCCCAATAGTGATGCTATTTTTTAAAATTTAAGTAACGTGTGTTGATTTCATTAAAAAAACCCAAAAAAACAACAAAAAACCCCCCCAAAAAACAGACTTACCAGCTGATGTCAAGTACAAGGTAGCGACAATCACTAAAAATATGACACACTTCATGATGACAATATAACTAAACTCTAGATCTGAACCTTTACTGAATCTGTCTATTAATGTCTACTAGTGACACCAACACGTCTATTTATACCCTTTACACCCATGGTCGAATATAAACAATCTTCAAGTGGTTATCAACGTTTCCACGCACCTACACCATGATCGGCTGATACGAACACCTAGTCTCGAGATTCAATGGAACAACGAATGCTTAGATAACATAGTAGACCCTTAATTCTCGTTAAAATGAAATTATAGTCTGTTCAGTTAGGAACTGGTCCCCAAGTACTGTTGTTGTTCTAAGGCTCACTGAAAAAGCCCAAAGACTCATTTGATTCAAAGACCATCGACATGAACCTTGTCATATTTGTTCCTTGGGCAATTTCGCATTGATTAACAGGCTTAAGTTTGTGACAAGAGGGCTGCTATGACGTCATACTCGTTTCCTGGTAAAGAGTACGCTCGTACTTGTTAAATTAAAAGATCAGAAATTAGTTCCAGCCAAATCATATGCTTGATACCCATAACAACATTCCTTAACTCGCATATTACTTTATCCTATTAAAGAATAAAAACTGAAATCCCCGTGGAGTGTAAATTCGTTCAGTTTTCTACAAGCTCAGATAACGTTTGAAAATAAATGTTGCGGTATAATATCCAAAATTTTAGATTCTCTCAATCTCTTTCGTCATTTACTTTTTCTTTCTTTATTATACGTATTTTATATTATAAGTAAAGTTTACTCCAGAACTCTCGCGCATAAAATAGTTGTTATATTCATTAATAACATACATGTTCCCACGTATGCAATGTAAACAGTCAATGGAGCACAGCTTGTCCAATCACCCCAAGACATCGTGCACTGATCTATTTATAAACTCACAGAAGTCTCGTGCATAACATAGTTGTTTTGTACTGTAGAATATCGGAATCGCACTTTAATTGAAGACACTTAAATGATTCCTGACCTTTCAAATTAATTATCGAGTATAATAATTTTTAATAGTTCTATTTGACATTTGTCACTTATGGCGTTGAACTGCTCATATTTGTGATTTGGTTTGTCCATGTATAATATTAATGCTAGTTCTATTTGATTTTTTAACTGTATAGTGTAGAAATGCACATTTTGTTTGCGACCTAACTTCCATTTATACTGTATACATGGGTATAGGTATGGTCAGTGCATTCTAACTTTATGGAGTTGAAATCCACATTTTGTTAACGACCAACTCCCATGCGCATAATGTTATAGGTTTCGCAATACATAACAATGCTAAAAAAACACGAATTAAGACAGTATTTTTCAATGCAATTTGCCACCAAGGGATGCCCTTTGAGCTGTCAATGACCCTAAACTAACACACAGAAACATACCGGTCTTACCGTTTCATCCATGTTTCGATAAAAGTCAATACGAGCAAGCGATTTTTCAATGTGTGCACGGCGCCACTTGGCACAATTTTGGAAAGGGATAAATATTTTGAATTTCCTTGTACTTAATTTATAAATAATTAAAATTTTAAGTATTGTGAAATTAAATTATAACTGGTTGAATTAAATTATAATTAGTTAAATTAAATTATATAGTTAAATTAAAACTAATTAAATTATAACTAGCTAAATTAAAACTATTTAAATTTAAACTATTAAAATTATTACTATTCAAATTATAACTATTCAAATTATAACTATTTCTCATTGTTACCACTGTTATTTAATCAAATGAAATGGGGTTTAACGTCCTACTGTTCTGCTCCAATGTGGCTAATGAAGACGGATATAAGTCATACAGTGTGCTATGAGGGAAATTTGGCCCGGACAGCGGCGCTAAGACCTATTCTTTGGCACGTATCGTCACAAAATCAAAGTTCCAAATTAAAGTATTATATTTTATACATTTTCACCCCAAATTGTCTTATTTATATTGTTTAAACTTGTCACGAAACTGTTAGTGGGGTATGCGGGTCCGCCGCTGTCCGGCCAAATTTATACACTCTACATTGCACCACACTGATATCAGCATTGAATTTTCGCTAGGCCGCTACAATCCCTGATAAATTAAATTCTAGAAAATTTATTAGAAAAATAAATAAAGGTGTTTGAGGTATGTGTAGGTGAAAATATTTAGTATTGAGTATAAATGGCTATGTAAAATGATTAAAAGGCACAATTCTGCCCGGATCAGTAACGTCTTATGTAAACAATGCACGCGCCACTAAGTCAATGACTGACGCCTAGTGATGGGACGTCACATGTTGAAAGCAGTCTTCTTTTACAGAGCTATTAGTCGACTTTTCGCAATATCTCTGTGAACTGCGGTCGGGATGGCCTAGTGGTCTAGCGTGTCACGCTTCGATCTCTAGGTGGCTTGCGGTCGTGGTTTCAATCCCTGGTGTGAGCAAGCAACTAGGTGTGAGCGTATGCGGGTTTACTCCGGGTACTCGGATTTCCTTCCATAGGAAAGTCCCCTGCGCGTGCACTATGAAAATAAGCCAACTTGTCTGCGATATTACCCTCGGTGGAAGCGAACGTTAAACACTAACAACAACATCCTCTGCGAAACAAAATGGCATTGCGCACGTGACCACAGAAAATATAACTGTATGTTAGTATTGTGACGTCAATATTTATTAATGGGGTATCCTTACACTAAATACTGATCAATATGAGATTGGTCCAACATCGAAAGTACGAACTGTTGACATGGTGTTTAGTCTCGACCATCTAACAATACGATAATTACATGCATAGTCCCATCTGTTTAAGGTGAGCGTAGTGGTACATCATAACCAAAACACTTTGATTTTATTCAAAATATTGGCTTACGAAACTGCTCTCGTTACGCCTCGTAGATCTGGGAGCAGGTAAACCAGATTAATAGCCATCAGTTATAGGCCCAAAAGAGGATGTTCGACAGCATACAGAAATAAGCACTATTGTATTTATGTCAACGATGGAAAAATCTATGTTCAATTTTAATGCTAGATTTTATTCTTCAAATGTCTTGCATTTTGAATTTTAAAACAAAGAACATAAATATTTGATGTTGTATTTTCTAAGTTTTCAAATATGAGCGCTTAGAAGTACTGAGTGGTCAAGATATAACTTCTTAAATGAACATAACAGGAACTCAGCGACCAAACTTTTCGGGTTTCAAGATATCGCGTCTTGAATAACCATATCTGGGACTCAACGATCCAATATTAGGGTTTTAGAATGAATATAATCATTGAAACCATTTGAAAGTGAATCCAATATTCATTCCGCCGATAATATATTAACTTTTAATCTGTCCAAAAGTATTCAAATCTATCTGTCTAAAGCCTTCTCCTAGTATTTTTTTATAGCATATAATATTAACTTTTAATCGGCCAAAAGTATTCAAATCTATGTCTAAAGCCTTCTCCTAGTATTTTTCTTATAGTATTACAAATAAAATGAAATGAAATGGGGTTTACCGCCCTGCTCTGTTATGAAATGGGGTTAAACAGTGTGCTATGGGGGAAATGGAATTCTGTCAAAGGTTCGTTTACGTGTACGCCAATGTGTACACTGGACCTCGGGTTTTAGTCCCACGAGTAGACGACGTTACTTACCAGGTCCTCCGTCGTGCACCACTGGCAAGGAAACGAAATGGGGTTTAACGTCCTACTGTTCTGTCCCGACTGGGATAATAAAGACGGGCATACGTCATACAGTGTGCTATGGGGGAAATTTTGCCCGGACAGCGGCGCTACGGCCTACTCTTATATCGAATTCCAACTGCCAAGGGATCTTTTACGTGCACGCCAATATGTACATGGGACCTTGTTTTTTCGTCCCATCCGAACGACTAGACAGCTGTCCTTGTCAGGCCCTCCGTCCTGCATCACTGACAAGGGGAAACCACGCCGAAAAATCTGGATGAACTTTCTCGGCCAATGCAGGGAATGTTAAAAGGGCAGACTATGTTTTTTTCAAACTCGTAAAAGATAAATAGGTCTACTCACTCTGTCCCTTTCTTCATCACATGGTTTTTGAAGGCCAAATCCACATCTGTAAAGAAAACATTTAAACTTAAAAATATGGACCAATAGTCGGCCCTGTGTGAGCCGAGATAAACATCTGTGATTTGAAAAATCTGGTTACCACTCGTCAGGGGTAGCATATCATGGGCCGTCGAGGAAATTGTTGCCTAGTCGATCAGAATGATAACAATCGGGTGTACGTAAATTAAACACACAGAACACAAACAGTGTCCCTACAAAATCCTCCATCCATAATTATAGTACATATAAACACCTGCTTGCCAGGCCACTCATCCTTCACCACTGATAAACTGCATGGACGCAACGCCGGATTAACCATGGTGGGGGCCCTGGGGCCTGGAACATGTGGGGGCCCCTTATCACCGACCGAGGAGCTGTGCAGGCCACCTCGAGCGCTGAAGGCGCGAAGCCCCGCAAGGGTGGTCTGGGGGGATTTTCAGGCACTTGTGTCGAAGCCATTTAGAAGTACCTCCCCCAGAAAAAAATAAAATTCTGCCACAAAATTAGCGCATTCTGGCGTTATTTCAGTGGACCAATCCATGCGAGTGCTATGAAATGATGGCATTTCTAGAGGAGGCGGCTGGAGCCCATTGAGCCCGTTAAATCCGCCACTGTAAGTGAGCAGAGCTACATCAAACCTAATTTTGAAGTCGCTCAGTGATAAATAACGGGGTCACTTGATTCGGAATCCTATTATATCCCCCACGATGATTTGATGAGTGGAGTCCGTAACGTTACGACCAAGCCGGACTCGATTTTTGACGAACGTCGAAAATATGAGGCGGCATCACCGGATTACACCGAATTCTCGGATGTCGATCGCGACACATCATGGATTGAGGGGGCCCCAGGGACTTCCGATGGAGGGCCCTCGGAGCATCGGAAGTCCCTGGGGCCCCGTCATTAGATCACCGGCCGTTGGAGTCCTCGGTCCGATCATGCTCGAGGCGCGCAACTGAGATTTTTGTGGGGGGCCCTCTAATGTGGGCCCCATGGCGCCCCGTGGTTAATCCGGCGTTGCATGGACGATACCATCCCACCGTTCAAAGTTATTTGTAAAATTCGACAATTTTTCCTAGTTCCAAACACGTGCGTACAGCTCAGATGACCACACAAGATGGAAACAGATAAAGCAACTTACCAACGGCATAGCCAAGAGAACAAGAAGAGCCTTCATGGTGGAGCTTGAGTTATTATCGTCTGTCTTCCGAGTCAGTTTATATATCAGAACTCCAGACCCCGCACTATATATAGGAAATGCGAACACACTTAACTCGAAAATTGATAATAAAATACAAAATTGAATATCTTTTCAACTGATTGTTTGCAGGAATTCAATCGTTCCGATCCGGTAATCAAGAATTGAAATTCAGTGGACACAATGAATACTATCTAATCTTACAGCTGTGTTTAAATTTGTCTGGAGAAAAGCTGATTTTGTAAGCAACTAATGCCCTGAATGGTATTTGACGGTTTCTACCTTTTTGACAGATTTTGATTACATAAGTTAGATTATTTTTGGTGTATTTTCTCATTTTATTTTGAGTAAGGCCTGTGTCCTTACAGGCCCGGGACTGTAGAGTCAAACTTTTTTTTCTCCAAAGGGTTAATCTGATATGTTATTTTGTTTAATGATACCTGCACAAACTATATGGGGCGGAAGTCAGTTTGTTTACTAATCTTAAAGGGCGCTAAAGCTGTTGCTAGTGGAATACAAAATCAGTTATATCTTAACATTGGCTCTATATGTCGACCTAATGATACACACTTCAAACTTTATTAAATCGAAAGATTTTGTAGATAATTATTTTTACATATTAAGCGGGAGGGGGGGGGGGGGCAAAATGTCGTGCTTAGAGCCAGTCCCCGGGCCAATTTTTACACTAAGAAAGACATGTTTTTTCTATGGGAGGGTATCGCTGCCAATTAAGAAAATACGATTGTACCAGAAAACTATTTACATATTTACAAACAGAAATGAACGTGCTTTTCACTAATATGTAACATGATACCTGGAATTTCGTATTTGGACATTGCACATCCCCCACACCCACCCCCCGTAATCATGGTAAAGTACCATCCAAAGTGTCAAGGTAAGTAAATTTTTATTGTGTACTAGGCTGATTTCCTGTTATAGTGTCGTGAATATCCTTGTTCTGGCTTATAGAACAGTATTTTCCCACAAAACATTTGTCATTTAGCACTTAAGATATGACGTTTTACATTTAACTCTTGCCTTAGAGGTATTTTGATCATTATCGGTATTAGGACTTTGTACATTGTACATATAATCAATGTAAACGACATTGTCACAGAGCATTTAATATTGGTAGCGATACCCTTCCATATTTTTCATGGTTCTACATTGGGATGGCATACCCAAATGTCCCTTAAACAAATTTAACACGCGTTGTTACACGTTATGCGAAAATTGCAGGAAATCGTCATGAAAAGGTCAGATTAATACTTCTACTACTACTAATAATAATAATATCAGGATTTATATAGCGTATGATTACTAAATATTTAGTTCCTAATGCCCTTTCAAGTATTTGCTTGTTGGTCATATAAAACTATTTGGTATACATATTACAGATTTGTCACAAATTTTGCGCACCAGAGAGGTGTAGATATAAAGGAAATTTATTCTCCGATTTCCATGTATACCCAAATCATTGTTAACACACTGTGTCGACAGTGGAATACAAAACTGGTTATTTTATATCTGTTTATGGCTTTGTCTTTGTCTTCGTGCTAAATAGCAAGATAACTATGACTTAATCTGATTTCCATGCTTGTTTCCATTGCTTGTAACTTTTATAACAGAATATTTGGTGATGTGTGTGAAATAGCTTTAACGTCCGCTTTCACCGAGGTAATATCGCAGACATTTTTTGATACGGTTTATTTGTTTTTATACCAGATATCAGCAAATATTCGAAAGTCAAATAACAACATGTCTAAAAAATCGACTATTTGCAAGCTAACTTTGCAGCCACAAGAGCGGCAGATTGACTTTATGGAAAAGAACCCCTGTGTGTTCGCCAGTAAGTAAACATCCGCTTGGGCACGCATGTGCACATTGTCTTTGCGCGAGAAAATACGCTGCGGAAAAGTCGCCCATCGAGAAGACGGTCCCATTATTTTTGCATTAGACATTTCGCCGGCGCAAACGCGTATATGGCAACGCCCTCACAAGGCGATATTGTACCTGAATCGTCTAATGTTAAACTCATTTTTGCCCGGTCTAGCCATTACCCAAACGTTTGATTACCCGTTGGACCATACCCTTAATGCAGCTCTTTCGATGGTATCACCGGTTTAGCGAATACCGTCCAAGCCTCCCCCCCCCCCGTCCTGCACCAATGACAAAGGGAAACCCGCTGAACTTGCTCACCCTCCTATTGACGGGACCGGCTGCTATTTTGAATGGCTAGTGCTATTCAATGGAAAAAGCTTTGTTTGAAATGTTTCCATTCTACCGAGAACACTATTTACACTAAAAAGTATCGAATCTCGACAGATGCAATATCAGTTGAGTCAGTGAGGTACTTTTCGATTGAAGCCGACTATCTTCCGATTTATGCTAGCGTGAATCACGCCATAGCCCAATCAAGGGGCAAGAATATCCAGACACCCCATCATTTGTAACGACATTGCTTATATTCTGTAGAAAGGTATATCATTGTATACTCTGAAGCATTTATAAGCCTTTTAAGCCCCTAAATTTACTTGTGAGAGTATACTGTCGTCATCTCGGTATGTCCATCTTTCCGAGAACGATCTACATGTTATAAGTTTTGTGTTTTGTTTTTCAAACCCGTTGAGATTGACCACCTTGTCCAGAGATCTCATGTTATTTTCTCAAACTTGCAGGAATTATTTCACTATTCTGAAGTAGAAAACGTCAATTTTAAAGCTAGATTTTATTCTTCAAATGTCATGCATTTTGAATTTTAAAACAAAGGACAGAATCATCTGAAAACTCATTTATTTTATTGTTTAATATTTTGAATAAATAACATTCGTTCTACAACATGGAAACGAATAATTAATTAGCTTTGCTGGTTCATCAACGTTTATGTTCTCGTCTCGCATCTACCGTTCAAAAAATTGTTACATCTCAGATTTAATTGATTTCCTTCTTCGTCTTCTTCGCAGCAATCCTGGAACATGTTACATTTATCGCCATTTTCTGAACAACGTCCATGCATGTCTTCCAGCCAGTGATATCCCAACATTTTTCTCTTCTCAAGAGATTGTCTGAAACGATGGAATTTTAAGAAATTCAATATTTTATTATATTAACGGGTTAAGAAGATCTGTAGATAGTTGCAAATCTGTTGTGAGCCATACAGTGTGCTATGAGGGGAATTTTGCCCGGACAGCGGCGCTACGGCCAACTCATATCTAATTCCAACTGCCAAGGGATCTTTTACGTGCACGCCAATGTGTACACGGGACCTCTGTTTTTTTTGTCCCACCCGAACTTCTAGACAGCTGCCCTTGTCAGGCCCTCCGTCCTGCACCACTGACAAGGGGAAATCACTTTGGAAAATCTTAAGGAACTTCCTAGTCGAACACTGGGATCCAATCCCGGACCTCCTGGATAGTGAGCCTGTAAATATCAGGAATTGTTATAAAACTGTTGGAATAGTTTTACTCTCGGCCGTCTCAGTCATACCATATTTTTTATTTGACTATTACCAAGAGAAAATAACTCTAGTTTACCGAGAGGAGGACCAAGATGCAAGACACCCAGGGAAAACCACGCCGGAAAATCCCAATGTAATTTCTCATCCTCCTCGGGACCGGCTGCTACGGCTGCTATTTTAAATAGCTAGCGTTATTCAGTGGGAAAGGCTTCGTTTGAATTGTTCCCATTCTACCGAGAACAAGGGGAACCACGTTGCAAAATCCCGGGGAACTTTTAGCAAGAGAATAACTCTAGTTTACCGGAAGGAGGACCAAGATACAAGTAACCCTGAACGATTGTCTATTATCATAACATGCCTAAAGGGTCTGATTATTGACACATTTCTCTCCCACATGATTCTGCATTTGATACTGTGTATACGCTGACATATTGTTCCATGAAATCTCAAGTGCCAATAAAGGGGAGGTTTAAAAGGCAGCCATATTGGTTTTTTGAACTCGTAAAAGATAAATAGGTCTACCTACTCTGCTTCTCTCTTCATCACGTGGTTTTTGAAGGCCATGGCAGATTTAACGAAGTCCAAATCTACATCTGTAAAGAAAACATCTGAACTTAAAAGTGTGGACGCAATAGTCGGCTGTGTAAGTCGAGATGAACGTCTGGTTACCACTCGCCAGGGGTAGTTTCTCATGGGCCGACGAAGAAATTGTTGCTGGGTGTACGTAAATTAAACACACAGAACACAAACAGTGTCCCTACAAAATCCCCCATCCATAATTATAGTACATATAAGTACCTACTCCAACAGATCGTGCCGATTCTCTTTTTATCTAAGCATACAATAGTTCAACAGAACACAAGAATGAAAAGTGTGTTTTGGGAATTTATATTTTGTTTTCTTATCAACATACCAAACTCTACTTTCTCAATAATTTCAACCATTCAAATATTTATAAAAATGTCTCAATATTATCCATTTTATGTTTTATAGTTATGCAATAATGCATGTATGTATGTATATATACTGTATATATTTATACTTTGTACATGTATCTAATCGGATCGGAGAGGGAGGTTACACATAGGCATAACCTCTTAACCAATTCAAATGCAGATATCTACTGATGATATATACTGTGTATATAAAAAAAACATGAGTTAAATACGAATTCATCGCCTGTTCTAACTTTGGAATGGCACACCCTTTAAATTAAATATTTATAATCAGTTCTATTTCATTGTTCGGATTTATATAACATTAATTATTTAAATGGGGAGAAATTGTGCCCGGACAACGACGCTGTGGCCTAATCTTATTTCGAATTCCAACTGAAAAGGTTTCTTTTACGTACACGGAAACGCGGTTCCTTGCCAACCCACTCGGCCTTAACTAATAAACTGCATATAGTTTTTCCTAGTTCTAAACACGTGCGTAAAATAGCGCATAATATTGATTAACAATTTAAAACGATCAATACATTATAAAACTATAACATTGTTCAAAATACGCGTGGAAACAAATTCGGCACAGCTAGTTCCAACAGTAGGATGTTAGACCCAATTTCCTATTAAACATAATTTTAGGAAGCGGAAATCTGTTTCAGCTCAGATGACCACACAAGATGGAAACAGATAAAACAACTTACCAACGGCATAAGCCGCGACGATGGTGATAACCAAGAGAACAAGAACAGCCTTCATGATGGAGCTTGAGTTATTATCGTCTGTCTTCCGAGTCGGTTGATGTCAGAACTCCAAACTCCGCACTATATATAGGAGATGCGAACACACTTAACTCGAAAATTGATAATAAAATACAAAATTGAATATCTTTAGGACAAATGAATTGCCCATTTATCCAATTGTTTTCAATAGATTCATATTTGATATTGTAGATTTTTAGAGCGTGTGGGATGTTTCTGATAATATAATGACAACGTTTATTTATGTGTGCTGTTGTTGTTTGTGACAAAGTGACTGGACTGCAAAAAAAAAGAAATACAACCGGCCCTTCTTTTTAAACCACATACCATTTGGTTTAAAGAATGCTCCAATTACTTTTCAGCTGATTGTTTGCAGGAATTCAATCTTTCAGATCCGGTTGTCAAGAATTGAAATTCAGTGGACTGAATGGACACTATCCGATTTTACAACTGTGTTAAACTTTGGAGAAAAGCTGATTTTGTAAGCGACTAATACCCCGAATGGTATTTGTCGGTTTTTCACCATTTTGACAGATTTAGATTACTCAAGACATGTCGTAAGTTAGAGATTATTTTTGGTGTATTCTTTCATTTTATTTTGAGTGAAGCCTGTATCCTTACAGGCCCGGGACTGTACAGTCAAGCACCCTTTTTTTTCAAAGGGGTTAATCTGATGTGTTATTTTGTTTAGCACAAACTATATGGAGCGGAATTTAGTTTGTTTACTAATCTTAATGTCGCTAAAACTGTAGGTAGTGGAATATAAAATCAGTTATATCTCATCATTGGCTCTATATGTCGACCTAATGATACACACTTCGAACATAATTGAATCGAAAAATTTACTGGTTATCAAAATCAAAGAGATATAATAATTATAAGTTAAAGTTTTAAGAGTGTAATAGTCGACCCAACCAAACTCACGACAATATAAATGCATTTCTTAAACACAATTGATTATACCATCTTCTTGAAAACCGTACTAACTCAAAGCCTTGCTCACTGAACAGGCAATAATAGTGGGATAATAGTGGTGTAGATATTTGGGATCAAAGTGAGAGCAAATAAGCCATTTCGGGACTGACAAAGAATATACATATCTTCAGATAATTAGTTTTTCATATGGAGGGGGTGGGTAGGCAAAATCTCGTCCCCAGAGAAAGTCCCCGAGCCAATTTTTAAACTGATAAAGACATATTTGTAAATTATACCCATATGTGATATGGACAGAAGAAAGGGGTTTGATTTTACAAAATATATTTTTGTTGATGAGTGACCATATTTCTTCATGGTTCTGCAATTTGATAGCATGCCCAAATGTCTCTTAAACAAATTTAACACACATTGTGGGACGTTATGCGAAAATTGCAGGAAATCGTAGTGAAAAGGTCAGATTAATACAATTACTACTAATAATAATAATATCAGGATTTATATAGCGCATGCTTACTGAATATTTAGTTCCGAATGCGCCTTCAAGTATTTTCTTGTTGGTCATATAAAACTATTTGGTATACATATTACAAATTTGTCATAAATTTTATGCGCCGAGGAGTTGTAGATATAACGGAAATTTACTCTCCGATTTCCACCTAAATTACCAAATTATTTTTAACGTACTGTGTCGACAGTGGAATACGAAATTGGTTCCAACCAAGACAATTTGTCTCGGTGCTAAATAGCAAGATAACTATGACTTAATCTGATTTCCATTGCTTGTAACTTTTGTAACAGAATATTTGGTGATGTGTGTGAAATAACTTTATTTAACGTCCGCTTCCACCGAGGTGATATCGCAGACATTTGGCGAAACGTTTTATTTTTTTTTAATATACCAGATATCGAAAATACATATGCATTTTAGTATTAACACCCCAAAGGAAATTTGTTGGGTATTGTGGAAAAAGGCAGCATTTCTGCGCGCGATTTATTGTATTTCAATGCGACAGAAAAATCGCTGGAAAGTTTGGGGAATCCCACGTAAATAACATCATAAATTATAAGATTTATCTTTACATCATGGAGCCTTACATTGTTTACGTTCGGTCGCCGCCTTTTTATAATAACATCATGTCTAAAAATTCGGCTATTTGCAAGCTAAATTTGCAGCAACAAGAGCGGTTGATTGAGTTTGTGGAGAAGAACGCGTGAATGTACGCCAGAAAGTAAACATCCGTTTGGGCACGCATGTGCACACTGAATTAGACAGACGTTTCGCCTCTTATAAATCCCTTTCGATTACGTTCAAAAGAAATGTTGCATTTTAGTCCTTCATTGCAACAATCATGGAATAGATGCTGAATATCTACCATGTATTGATTCCAGCAGGCACGGTGGAGTGGGGGCTTTACACCCCCCCCCCCCCAACAATTTGGCCTCAAGTACTCTTTTCTCCAGGTTATTGCACGCAAGTAACTATTCAGTTAGATGCAGTGACGTAACTGGAGTAGACCTGGTTTTAATATAGAAGTGAGACATCTAGAAGTAGAAGGTAGACGTTCAGAAGAAAGAACCCTACTATTCACTATAGTGATCCCTGGGTTATAAGCCGCCAATGGCGATTAGTTAACTTTACTGAGCAGTCGAATATTTCATTCCATCTCATTTCCGTTGTATCTATGACACATTGGCTAATTAAAACACCACGGAATAGGGTTTTTCTAACATTCTATAGCAGGGGCGCAGATCGCCAAAAATTAGTGGTGGGGACAGTCCATGCGCGGGCGACTATTGGTAAAGAGGGGGTTTGGGGATGGGGTCCTCCCCCGAAATTTTTTAAAAACTAGACGCTCTAAAACGCACTCTGTGGGTATTTTCAGCATCATTTTCTGGCAGCAAATGAAAGAAATATAACCGAACGCCGCTGGCGTGAGCTGCTAGAGGTTGTGGGGGCGGTGGCTTTTACAATTTTTTTAATTTTCGTTACAAAATGGTATCTAAATATGCATTCTCAGCGATTCTGAGGAGTTTTTACCAATAAGAAAAAAATTTCCAATAAAGTGTTTAATATATTTAAAAATAAAGAACAATACACTTATATCCACTCTGCCCGTTTCTTTTCCCTTTGTCTTCTATCTGAACGGTCCATGACAGGTTTTAAAAAATGTCTTTTCCGATAAATTTCCTAAATTTTTAAACCATCTTCAAAACAGCATAATGTAATAATAAGTACACGATTCTTGGCTCAGCTTACTGTACTCGAAAAAATAGAGGGTTCGAGTCTTAAATTTTAGATTTAAATGCCTATATTACACAGAGAGGGATAGAAACCAGTCTTTAAAAATACGTTTATTTACTATGGCAGCAAATCTAGCAATGAAGGGTTCCCCTGATATACAAACTAAATCCATTATTAAGCCTAGCTTATGTCGCCCTACGAAACGATAAAACTGACTCGAAATCGGCGACTAGTTTACGAACAAGTGGAACTGATCAGTCGTGACTATGAAGGCGACCTGAGCGCTCTTACGACTGGTGTTAGTCGGACGGCAACCAGTCGCCGTCCAGTCGTCTCCAGTCGCACATGTTCTACTCTTACGACTGGAGACAACTAGTTGTCCCTAGTCGCAAGCGACATGAGCGCACCTACGACTGGCTTAAGTCGGCGATTCGCTGACGTAGCCAATAAGATTCGGTTATTTAATCAGGTGGTACCCAGGGGGCGGCAACAACCACGGGAGACAAGTGGAATGAGGCCATTTTGAAGGTTATCACGTATGATCAGTTGTGGCTCCGATTCTTCAACTGACGCCGGGCGACATGAGCGCGCTTAAGACTACGCTCAATTGGTTGCTCGTGGTTGCGTCCAGTCGTGGATAAATTTAGTCGTAGCGACATAAGCTGTCAGTTGCCGTTAGTCGCCGTCAGTTTTATCGTGTCGTAGGGCGGCATAAGCTAGGCTAAAGCCCGGCCCATACCGCTACGACTACACACAAGCCGACAGGACTCAGTGTCTTGGGTAGTTGTAAAAAAAAAATCGGGTCGCGCCTTTACTTCGCTTGCCTATGACGGTACCAGTCCACACAGGCCCGACTCTCACATGTAAACCAACCCATCCTCTCTCTCTTCTGTTCAAAAATCTGCCATCTTGAATTTTCCCTCAGTTAAACAAGGAGCGCATGACCTGCACAGTCACATGACTAAATTCTACTCTCTGATTGGCTAAACATCCGTAAGACAATTGATCGTGTCGTGTGAGTGTCCACACAAACACGATAAGTTACGACTGCAACCAACTGCATCCGACTACGATTGAACATGTTCAATCGGGCCGACGGGCCACGACGCGACGGAAATCGATTGAATCGTGGTCGTGGGACTGTCCACACTGCACTGATTATCTGAGACAAGACGTTGCGTTGGGTAGAGTCTGGGCAAGTCGTGGCGGTATGGGCCGGGCTTTAAAGGACAATATTGGTGCCAGTCATTATCACATATGTGATAGAACTGGTTAAACACGTTCCAAATATTATTTTTTCACAGAGATCATTGCTACGATAGATGAGTGATCAATGTTTCAACAATAGGAAGTGACGAACGCAAAAGGAAAACACGAGTTATCCCTCTATGTAAAACTGGCTGAAGTGACGCGTGATAACAGATACATGGCCGAATTTCTGCTCACTAAAAATTCGTTCGAAGATCAAAAGTTGTTATATGAGACTGTAAGAGTATATCTGACTTAACCACCATGACCCCCCCCCCCCCAAATCGAAAATAAATTATCACCTCTAGATGGTCCACGAAAGGGTGACCTTCGCTTGCACGGATTTCCACACTCTAGTCGAACTATCTGCATGCGAATAACATTTAGTTCAACCGTGCGATAGAGCACGGTCGAGATAGTTCAAAGATGGCTGAAAAGACTGACACGTGTGTAGATGTGTGAAAAATATCATTAAGTTGCCAATTGCCAATGCGTTATTTACACCATAGCTCGTATTTCAGGGTTAATGGTAATCAAGGCAGTTAGAGAATATATATAGGCCCACGACAAAAAACTTTGTGAAATGGTCCATGTTATCAGTTAACCCGGATGGAGCCAGCTTTGTAAGAAAATGTTTTAAAAGTATTTCTTTATCCCCATCGTCAAAATATAGTT